AATTTAAATGTGGGTATTGTAAAATTCATGATTTTTGGGGAAACTTTGAATGGTTTTGCTTCTAGGATGCATTGTCTTTGACGGAATTTGAGCTGATGGAGTTGATGGATGTGGGGGTTGGCAGGAGTGAGATCTGCATTAGCACACATCAGTGAGAAAGTCTATCCACCTTATCAAACTGTAAGCATGTTTCTCATCTTAATTGTTGAGTTCAATTTTAAGGCTTTTCTTTCATTTCCTTTGCTTTCTCTTGAAATTTTGGTTTGAAACTAGTTGTGTTTCTAGGCATTATCACTGATGGAGCAAAGGGTTCAAAATGAGATATTTTCACGCCATCTTCCAATGGGGCTGAAAGGATTAGATCAGCCTTATGTGGTGGTGATTGATAGCATGGCTGCTCTAGTTTCAGAGTAAATCTCATATTCGTTTAATGATTTTGACCTCTGCTCATATATACACTCAACTAGTTATGATCTTCAGAGTTCAGATATCAAGTGATGTTAGTATTGTTAATTGCATATTATCTTATGTTTTGGGATAAACATAATTGCCATCCATGTCTTGAACTCACATCCCAGATGGACTCCATTATCTTAAACAAAATGACATTAGATCCTATACCTTAAATTTTTAACATAAAGGTGGGACAACATGCAAACATGTCTATACTAGTTCTGGCAAAACTCACTATAGTAGACAGTACACGTTTTGGAGGTTTACTTCGAAGTGCTTTATTTGGTTCAGGAAAGACGAGAAGGGAACTTCTAGAAAACAACCATTAAGTAGGCAAATTTCCTTCATTAAGTGAGAACTCTTTCCTCTTGATTTCCCATCCTTGATCCAGTTGGTTGTCTTAATTATCTTTTTCAAGTGATGCATCGTTATGCTTCATTATATGCAGGTCACTTGCTGAATTTTCACGAATTCCTATTGTAGTGACAAACCAAGTGAGATCTCAAGGCCACAATAAGGCCTGCCAGTATTCCTTTCAAAGTATGATTGCCTAATCGGACTGTTCAATTCTGCATGACTTGTTTACACAGTAGAATTTATAATGTGCAGTGCATAACGAGAGGGAGAATTTAGAGACTCCTGCATTGTATGATATGTATCCTGTTGCTGCTCTGGGTATTAATTGGGCTCATGCTGTAACCATTTGTCTTGTGCTGGAATCTAAATCAGGTTGGCATAATGCTCGAACAACAAAAGAGCCTTATCTCCCATGAATTCAACTCTTTTTATTTGGAATAACACCATTTTCTTCTCTCCAATGTTGGAAGAAAATGCTTTCGTAATGGTTTATAGCTTATACAATTTCATTTCATTTCTCCTAAGGCTAAAACTTCTCTTTCTAGTTTCATATCTTTTGAAGAGAGTCAAATATTATATCCACCTTATCAATGAATTCAAATTTCACAATCTTCTCTTCCCTTGCAGGTCAGAGGTTTGTTAAGTTGGCAAAATCTCCATTATCTCCACCTCTTGCTTTTCCTTTCCACATAACTTCATCAGGCATTTCCTTGCTAAATCATGATGGAATAGAACTTACGGGACCAGAGATAAAACTCAATTCACTATCAAGGTTAGCAAAACTGTTCTATGCATTTGTGAGTTTCTGCAGTTAACCAAAGAACACTCTAATCTGAATTTGTGAGCTTCTCGGATGTGGAGCTCTGTTTCATTTTAGATTGATTAATCTGCATACAAATGAGTTCCTGAATATATGCAACTTACATATAACTGTTTCTGCATAAAAGATAAAAATAACTGCTTCTAACAGAGTTAACTTGCTAGAACTAACTGCAGAAAACTAGAAAGAACTGTTACAAATTAAAAAAGCATAACTGTAAACTGCTATCTTCAACACTCCTCCTTGCTTTTTATATTTGTAACTCCAAGCTATCTCTGAACTCTTCAAATTTCTGCCTCAGAAGAGCTTTAGTCAGGATATCTGCAGCTTGGACTTCAGAATCACAATGCAGCAAAACAATCTCTTTTTCCTGAACATAATTTCTGATAACATGGTATTTAATCTTGATGTGTTTGCTCCTACCATGCTGCTCTGGATTTTGAGCAATAGCAATTGCTGACAGCATGATTTGCTGCTGCTCCAGCTGCTAAATACTCAGCCTTAGCTATGGACTGAGTTACAACATCCTCCTTCTCCCTGAACCAAAGGAGAACACATAACCTGTTGTGCTTACCATATCATGGAACATGCCCAGTCACTATCAACATACCCTTGTAACCTTCCTTGTGGATTACCGTCAAACCACAAGCCAAGTTCATAGGTTCTTTTGATGTAACTAAGAATTTTCTTGGCAGCAACTAAATGAAGTTTACTAGGAACAGACATAAATCTTGACAAATAGCTTGCTGCAAACTTCAAGTCAGATCTAGTCGCAGTTAAATCAAGCAGGCTACCAATTAAACCTCTGTAATAGGAGGAATCAACCTTGGTTTCTTGATCATCCTCGAAAAGTTTTTCATTTTGAACCAGCGGGTTGGCAACTGCTTTACAATTCTCCATTTCAAACTTCTTCAAGATATCCAGTGCATACATTCCCTTGCAAATGAAAATTCCCTTGTTCAATTGTTGAATTTCAAGCCCCAGAAAATACTTTGTATCTCCCAAATCTATCATTGCAAACTCCTACATCATAACCTTCTTGAATTGTTCCAACAACTTCAAATCATTTCCAGTTAATAACAAGTCATCCACATAAGGTGACAAAATAAGCTGAGAGTTACTGCTACGGCCTTTCACATACAAAGTTGGTTATTTTGTGCTCCTTTTGAACCTTTTTATGCCACAAATCTACATCCACAGTTTTTGAAGCAAAAAAACAATGCTGCAGCTTTTTACAATCCAAAGGAAATTTTTTCTCTACCATTTTCACCTAACTATCTCATCATCAATAGGGACATAAATAAAACATAATCATGCTCAAAAGATAGGGTGTGCCCCTTTTTCATCATTTGTGCAATAGAAAGTAAATTTTGGCTTAAGGTAGGAATAAACAGGACATCAGTAATTTGTTTTGTGCCTGTTTTAGTTTGAATAATTGCAGTACCTTTTCCTTGTGATCTCATTATAGTACCATTTCCTAGCTTGACATTTGTAATAACTGATTTTTCCAATTCAACGAAGAGACTTTCATCTCGGGCTATATGATTGGTACATCCACTATCAACATACCAACTACTAGATGGCAGCAATGAACCTTGTGACACCATAAACAAGTAGTCCTCCTTGCACTGATCTTTAGCATGGTTAACTTGCTGTTGTTACTTTGGTCTGTACTGAGCTTGCTGATGTGACCGATGTTGTCGTTATTGCTTAGATCTGTAATTCTTCTCTATATGGCCATACTTTTTACAAAATCTGCACTGAATTTGTGATTTGCCTTTGAACCTACAATCTTTTTTTTTTCATGATTAGTTTTTCCACAATGACAGCATGGAGGAAACCTCCCTTTTCTGCTTTGCTGATGCTGCCGATATGTTTAGTTAGAACCCAGGGTCTGATTGCATTCAGAACTAGCAGCTGGTTATTTGCCTTTTTGCCTTGCAAGGAAGGCTCCTTCTGTAGTCTCATCAATTTTCATAGCCAGCCTTTGCTGGCGAGTTGAAGCTTGTTTATGAGCTCAGTAATGGTTAGCTCTTTGAGGTCACAAGATTCTTCTATGGCAAAAATCTTGGATTCAAATTTATCTGGCACACTAACCATAATCTTTTCCACAATCCTTCGATCTGGAAACTCCTCACCATGAAATCTAATCTGGTTGACAACATCCATCAGTTTGTTTGAATATTGATGAACTGTTTCTGTCTCCTGCATTTTCAGCATCTCAAATTATCTTTTGAGGGTTACAACCTTGTTACCTCTAACCCGTGAATTGCCGTCAAACTCTTTCTTAAGAGTATCCCAACCTTCTTGTGCTATTTCTGCTCCCATGATATTTGAGAAAATGTCATGTGTTACACCATGATGAATATATGAGAGGACTTTGTATGCGGCTTGAACATAGTCAGCATGTTGCCTCATCTAGGCTACACTTGGATTATTTGGCAGCATAGGAGGATGAAACCCATTTTCTATAGATTCCCATATGCCATTACCTCTTAGAAAATCCTTCATTTTGATAGCCCAAACATTGTAATTTTCTCCTATGAACATAGGAAGATTAGAGAGCGATGAAGAATTGTTTGAAGACATGGCTGTGTTTTTGTTTACGCAGCTTCTCTCCATCACCAGCACTTGTGTTTGCTCTCTCTCACCAGAAGCTGAATTTGTTTTGTTCTCAAAGGCCCCTCAAGATGATTTTGCTCTGATACTAATCGTGAGTTTCTGGAGTTAACTAAAGAACACTATGATCCAAATTTGTGAGCTTCTCGGATGTGGAGCTGTTTCATTTCAGATTGATTAATCTGCATACAAAGGAGTTGCTGAATGTATGCAACTTATATATTACAGTTTCTGCATAAAAGATAAAATAACTACTTCTAATACAGTTAACTTGCTAGAACCAACCGCAGAAAACTAGAAAGAACAGTTACAAATTAAAAATGCATAACTGTAACCTGCTATCTTCAACAGCATTAAGAACTGTTCAGCACTGATGTTTTTGTAATTCTGATCATCCACCAAAGAAAATACCACATGAAGAATTCACTTGTGGGATCCATTCTAATCGTTTCCGTAGACATGGGTTTTCTTAATTTCAGATGGGCTGGGTGTATTACTAAACATGTTATTCAAGCTTATTTGTTTATTCATTTCAATGAGGATATTCAAAAAATATTGTATTCCAATGACAAATTTGCAGGGCACAATGAAATAATCAATTTTGGAGTCGAAGCCATGTAATGATCTATCGGAGTAGAAGCTGTATGATCTGCGTTGCAAGAAGTTCATAATACTATGAAACTGTTGAAGCTCATTTGAACTCATGTCCTCATGCACCCTGAGAGAAACATCAAGGATGTGCTAGATTCCTTGTGCTTATGCCCCATAACATCAAGGAAAGTGACAAGATTATGTGAATCTTCAGAGATTCACGCAACCCATTTTAGAAGTTGAAAGTCATTAAAGATTTCGTCACTTGTAATGAGTTGGGAGTTGAAATGAAGAGTGCATTTATCTCTGTAACAACGATCAAAGTACTTCGTTTATATTGAAGAAATTAATCTCTTTGAAGAATTCAAATGTCTGTGCTACTGTTTTAAATTTGGCTCATATCCCTCGTACTGTGTGTATATATATATATATAATTAGGGTATTTTTAAATTAATTTTTATATATTTTAAAATTAAATTTTTTATTAAACATGTAAAAAGCACATTTTTTATGTTTACTTAATGCATTCAAGGAAGATAAGGGTAATCCTAATAGTGCACTTTTTACATTCACTTAGTACATTTAATAAAATTAATTTTTTTTAAATGTTAGCTTTAAAACTTCAGTTGTAAACTTGACTTATAGTTAAAACTTTAATTGTCAACTTAACTTATGGCACAACAATTGCTGCTTTCTGGTAGATTCAATCTTTGTGATGGAGATAAGAAGAGACACAGGAAGCTCACTGGAATAGGAAAAACAAAGAAGAGGAATTGAGGGAAAACATAGAAGATATAACTATACGTTTTTATCTGACATCATTTACTGATTTATTGACATATGGCGCATATTTTTTATGTTGTGCAAACTTAAGTGATTCTGACCACTATTTATCAAAATACAAAAAGATAAATTATATCACATGGTTTCAATGCATTTACATAATAAAATATTAGCAATTGAATATGTACGTTTGGTGTGTAATATGGTATCATAAAACAAATCAATATTCTTAGCAACTCTGCACCGTCCTAGTACTTAGCTTCTGTTCATGGTGGTCTAGAGTCTGAAGTCTGAGCCCCCTCTTTTCTTTTCCCCTTTTTATCTATAATTCTGATTATTCAATTTTTGACCTGCCTAAAGAATGATTGAAAGTAA